TTTTAGCTCGACTATTCGATAAGAATAAGTAGAGCTATTGTAGTCACCCGAGCGTCCGCGTCGGGTCAGTGTCAGCGTCGGCGTCTGCGTCGGCGTAACCACTTATGTTAAAGTTTTTTGTAATAGTTTTAATATTTTCAAAGTCCATTGACGTTTGGCTTTGAAACTTTGCACACTTGTTCACCATCATTACCCCAACTGTAAACAGGAGGAGGTAACTCTATCAAGCATTTTGACAGAATAATGCCCCTTTTTCGACTTAGAATTTACGTTAAAGTTTTTGTAATAGTTCAAATATTTTCAAAGTCCATTGAAATATAGCTTTGAAACTTTGCACACTTGTTCACCATCATTACCCCAACCTGTAAACAGGAGGAGGTTACTGTATCAAGCATTTTGACAGAATTATGCCCCTTTTTCGACTTAGAATTTACGTTAAAGTTTTTGTAATAGTTCAAATATTTTCAAAGTCCATTGACATATAGCTTTGAAACTTTGCACACTTGTTCACCATCATTACCCCAACCTGTAAACAGGAGGAGGTAACTGTATCAAGCATTTTGACAGAATTATGCCCCTTTTTTCGACTTAGAATTTACGTTAAAGTTTTTGTAATAGTTCAAATATTTTCAAAGTCCATTGACATAATATGGCTTTGAAACTTTGCACACTTGTTCACCATCATAACCCCAACCTGTAAACAGGAGGAGGTAACTGTATCAAGCATTTTGACAGAATTATGCCCCTTTTTCGACTTAGAATTTACGTTAAAGTTTTTGTAATAGTTCAAATATTTTCAAAGTCCATTGACATATAGCTTTGAAACTTTGCACACTTGTTCACCATCATTACCCCAACCTGTAAACAGGAGGAGGTAACTGTATCAAGCATTTTGACAGAATTATTCCCCTTTTTCAACTTAGAATTTACGTTAAAGTTTTGTATTAGTTCAAATATTTTCAAAGTCCATTGACATATGGCTTTGAAACTTTGCACACTTGTTCACCATCATTACCCCAACCTGTAAACAGGAGGAGGTAACTGTATCAAGCATTTTTTTTACTATCAAGCACTAAGAATAGTCGAGCGTTGCTGTCCTACCGACAGCTCTTGTTTACTTATGCGATGTTTTAACATTACTAGTATGCTCAGGGGAGAATAAATAAATCGCATACACTAAATCATTACAACTGTAGTAATTGCCGACGCAAAATATCGTTCAGGTAACTGACCAATTAGTAAATTTCCGAAAAATATCATAGGACATCAAAGATGAAAAGCTTCTGAGAATTTCTGGGGTAAAATGATACTCTAAATATTATTAAACCTTTGTTCTTATTGCTAATATGATGTTTTTCTTCAGTTGTTGTTGTTGTTGTTGTCATCGCCTTTGGTGTCGTTTCGACATTAGAATAATATTTACGTATTTACCTGTGATTGAAATGTTAAATTTGTTTATCTTGCATCACTTGGAAGAACTCACATTTTAAATTTTTAATTTTGTATTTTAAAAATAAAGTTCAGTATGTACGATATGAAAACATCAATTTGTTTGTTGTTTTTTTTGTTTTTTTTTGTCATTTTGATTTAAATCCAAAATTACTTGATTCGAAATATCAATGATTTTCTAGATTTGTGATCTACGGGTTTGCTTTACTTTTTATGTTAATTAAAAATTTGCATACCAAGGAATTTTTTGTTGTGTTTTTTTTTCAATCAGGGGATATCTTAGAGAACAAGCTTTCAAAATTCTCAGATACCAGTTACAGTCGGTCGGTTACAGACGGTGATTCAAAAACATGTCTCCGGCAAAGTAGTAGTACAAAACGTCAGACTTGGAGTGTCCGATTAGGTTCTAATGAAACAATAAATGAGATACAGATTGTCACTACTGAAATTTCTATAGGTAAGAAAATAGTTAATTATCTTCAGTTAGAAATTCATAATGTTAAGACAAACTTCATGACAGTATCTTCGTTAATTTCTAATAAAGTTTTTGGCATCTGCTTTAATGTAAAAATAAATGAATAATATTTATAGTCTTTCTTTAAATAGTTAAAGTCAATTTGGAGTCGCCGTTGTGTTATCTCAGTTTTGTTTTTCAATAAGTAATGAAAAAAGTGTAGAAATAGAATAAAAGAGGAACTAGTGAAAAGTTAATGTACGAGTATATGTAATTATACATATTTATTTTCATTGAATATATAAATGATCGCAATTGTGATTTTGCAAACACGAGAAAAACTGTTAATCTTTTTTCAGCTTCCTTCAAGAACTTTGAAGTTTTTGTAGGATATATTCCATCTACAGGAATCGATGATGTTGTTAATAAGCAAACGTGTTTTAAACAAGGAGTTGGTACTCCAAAATCAAGAACGTTTTCGGTTTTATGTGATACGCCTGTCGTTGGAAATTATGTAAAAATTGAGTTTGCTGAATCGCAAAACGAATTAGAACTTTGTGATGTAAAAATAAACGGAGGTAAATTTATAATTTTTCACACATACTTTTGATAATATATTCTTGTATCCTTGACCAATTCAACTTTAAATTTACGAATCAATGACGCACATTCCATGACAATTCATATTAGTTTATCAGTCTCAATACAGTTCTAATGGTGTTATAGAGAAATAAAATCATTTATTTTATGCTTTTCAGTGGATTACTGATTTATCCGTGAAAATTATATTTGATAATTTCACAGTGAAAATTATCAAAATATAATTTCACACTTTTCAATGACGAAACTACTTTTTTAAGATTTTCTCCATGTGGTACCTCAATTTTATTTTAGCTGACTATTCCGTCAATATCAGGCTGTTTAAAGAAAAGCAAAGCTGAAATTGATAATTAACTTATATGTCAAAAGTAATAAAAAGAAGAAAACTTACAGTAAGTTACTTCTAGTCACACCAAATATCGTCTCTTTAATTTTTTGTTTCATTTTTACAGTCTGAAAAATACATTCCTTCCACATGCAAAACTGCTCTTGGTGACATTTGGGAATATTTAAGTATCCTACGAGCAAAACTTGCAGTATGCTTTTTGAAAACTTTGAAAAGCAATGGCAGCTTTCAGTCGAAGAATATGTAAAAACAACCCAGCGTTCGTAAGGCTTCCAAGTTTTCCCAATTTCCTTCCATTTTTTGAATGTACAACACATCTGTCAACACTTATATATTGTCTGTTACAATCCTCATATAAGTTTTCTTTCTTTTAAAAAGATGTATGACTAACAAATTCAAATGATATCCCTCTGAATCAAACACAATTATTTTCTTCCAGTGAAATACACCGCTTACATTTAACATAGCCATGTCTAATATAAATTCGCAGTCAGTAACAGAAATATGGATGGATGGTTGGACTTTTTCTCCTACTAGAATTGTTTGTTTTTATTATTTAAACATGCGATCAGACACATTTTTTTTAATAAAATGAATACTATCACCACCATTTAACGTTGATTGTGGAACTTATTATTCAGCCCATGATTTCTTGTATTTAATGAGAAATTCGACTTTTTTGAGGCTCTAAATGGGGAAACAGATTTTAATATTAACATAAATATTAAGGAAATTTCGTTTTAACTTGTTTTTAAGCATAAAATAAAAAGAAAATTTGTTTGTTTGTTGTGTAAGATGTTATTTCATTTCATCTCGTGAACTTTAAAAACAGTATTCTACGCTACTCGTGAGAATACTGTTTTTAAAGCCCACTCGATGAAATAAAATTTCATCTTACACACAAACAAACAAATATCCTCTATATCATATGTGTATAAGTATATTTCATAGGTAAATTCTTGCAATTTTAGTTGTGCATTATAAACACAATTCATGCTTTAAAGAAAAAGCATCAAATTTACACAACATAACTTACAACCATTTTTTATTCACTTCATGGAAAAAGAGAGAACAAACGAACAGCAGGAATTGCTTCGATTAGATTCTGGTCTTTTTAATTTTGAACGAACATCTGTCTTCTTCCGTTAATTGCGCCAGATGATTAATATAGTCTGATATGCCATTATTATTTTATTTATTTAGGTAGAAACTTAGCGTTTAATCGGTCAGCTTCACAGGTATCAAAAGCCAAAAGTTGTAGTTCTACATACTGCAATGCTGAAGCGTCTTTGGATGGACAGACAAATACGACACTAATGTGGTATTGTAGCTATACACGAAGAAAGATTAAACCTTGGTGGAAAGTGGATATTGGTTTTCAAATACAAATATGGAGTGTTCAGATATTGTCATATATAGGTATTGAAATGAAAAGTTGATTATTCAGATAAAAACTAATTCCTAACGAGTTGCAATTAGTATAAGAATTCAAGATAAAAAGAGAACAAACATGTTTGATTATAAAATCGTCTTTTTTAAGAGAAATTTTGCTGTTTAAAAATGAATCAAAACGTTCATGATATTCGAATCAATAATTCTTTGCAAAAATATTTCTTATCATTTTTATAACTCATAAATGATCGCAATTAAAGCAATTACAAAGTTTACTTTATGATGAATATTCACCCATAAATATAGTTTATACTTGAATAGGAAACAAATACTGGCAAAATAAAAATAGTTTATGTAATGTTTAATAAATGATTGTAATTTATTTCTGAAACTAACTATTGCTATGAAGCAGGGTCTTTTCACAAATATAGAAGCTCAATAATTCTGAAACATCATTATAAAAATGTTTTGCCATATTGATCATTATTAAGAACAAACGTTTGCATTCAGCGTAACAAAATTGGCAGAGAAATGGTTGTTTCTAACTAAAAATGTTAGAACATGGGTATAAAAATGTTTACCCTTCACCTTCCACTTTAAACACCTATTAAACCATTTTTCCTATTTAAAAAGACTTATTCAAAATATCCCTTAATTGACCACAATGAGGGACTGTTTTCAAAGTTTCCCGAATTTTTCTCTAAAGTATACTGGTTCATCTTCAAAAAATAAAATACTTTTACCATGTGTGTTTTATTTTATTTGACTTTGGAAATATCAGGCACTATATTTGCTATGAAATTTGGCTTTAATTAGCCAATAATCACAATTTTATATTAACATACCTTTTTTATTGGGGAGAGAAGTACCGAAAATATGTATAAGACAAAAAATGCTTTATTGATATAAACCCACGCTTCTAGTTTAAAGACGCGATCACAGTTTATTCTAGAGTTTTGAAAACTCGTTGCAAAGCGGAGGTATGCATTAGGGGGGATTCTTACCTTAAGTTAAACTGGCCTGAGGTAAATGCGTGTAATTGGAAATATTCTTGATTTTGGTGGTTTGTTTTTCTGCCTCAGATTTCAAACAGCAACGTACTAGAATGAGGAATAAGAGGCAACTTTGTAGAATCGCACGTTCCGGCTTCTTTGTATTTATATAGAAAACAATTCTGATAATGTTGAATGTATGTTACCATTCTAACGCAAAGATAACCTCAGCATTCCAATTGGATAGTTTAGAGTTGTGTGGAGAATATTCCTTATAGAGGTTTATAAAAAGTAAATTAAAATGTATGCCCTATAGGAAATTAAACAAGGAATGGTTCAAATTACATAATTACACATTTTTTTTCAGATAAAAAACACGAGAATGTACCATATGTTGTACACATTACAAAAAGTAATGATTCCGTTGTTGAAAGCCTATACAGCACACACGAACTTTTGTCTGATACACAAACTATTGCGTTAAATTCAATGGGCAGGTTTGTGAAAATATCTATAGACCTAGAAGTGAAACAAAAATTAGCAGTCTGTGAAGTTTTTGTGTTTGGAGGTAAAAATTTTTGAAAGTTATTTCTTGAGCTGCAAATTGTTGTATGAAACTTAATACAGATAACTTTAATGTATGTGAATACAAGTTAAAGAAAGAGTTACCAGGAATTTACTCCGGTAGCCCCACGGCTAATGTCTCATAAGAAGTGTTTTTGTAATATTTTCTTAATTTGGTTGTTTGGTATTGAATTAAACTGGTACTGTAAAGTGCATGTAGTAACATTGCAGCTTACCCTGTTATATTATAACCTAAGAATAACTGCTCAAACTTGAGAGCTTCTTTACATGGTTAAATACAAACCCCATAACGCTATGACAATATGGAAGGGTATATCCGCCATTATGGAATTTACTTTTTCTTACATTGCAAAGTGAAATCCATTCATGTAAATGACCTATGCTTGCATGTACATTACATGGATACTATGACAAATTTATATTCTGATATGCTTAGTCCTAGTTTCTAATTTTATATGACATTTTCTTATATGTATGTATATAACTTTAGATAATCAATCTTTGGATAATATGTAATAGTTTTCGCGCTCAATAAGTGTTATGCGAGCCATTTCTCTCACCCATTAGTATAAATAATGAATTTCTCTCAATTATTAGGATAATAGAAGACGGAAGATCCCTTGTACTTTGTACAAATTAATCTCCAAAACTGTACAAGCATGTCATATATATACAATACGTGTATACATAGGAAATATTCTAATTTACTCAGATGACTGACTGCAGTATTTCTTTTCTTTCTTAGTATGGGTTGACATTGTTTGAATCTAATTTACAAGTTTCTTCCATTTTTTGAGATTCTACATTCAATATACAGATATATAAATATATTAAGAAATAGTATCGTGTATGAACTCATGCTTTGCAATCTCGCGGGAGAAAGTGTCGCAGTTTTCCATACACTGGTATTTGTAGTTAAACATTCAACTGATAACTTCATCTATCACATACTCAGAAAGAATGGTTCGCAAGAACTGTTGGTAATCTTAGGCGTTTTAGAGAAAATAGTTATACCGTCCGCATACAGTAAGCAACATATCTTAAAAATACCAGTATCTATGCCCTCCACTCCTTTACCTAAAAACACATCTTCAAGATCATTCAGATACATGGTAAATAAAAATGGGGACAGGCTCTCAGCTTGTCTTACTCCTAAATTACATGTTCAAGCTTCACTAACATTATCAAAATGTTTAATTCTTGAGGAAATGCCTTCATGCATGCTCTATATAACTTTGAGAATATTACCAGTCACTCCATATTCTATTCATTTGTACCACAGTTCATCTCTAACTACGAAATCAAAAGTTTTTTTAAAATCAACAAAAACTACATAAAGCTTTTCATTTTTATTCAACTAATGTGAAATAAGAGCATTTAAAACAAAAACATTATTAACAGTACCCATATTTTTTTTTTTTTTTTTTTTTTGAAAACCTGCCTAGGTCTCTACATAAACACCATAAGATTCAGGCCAGTTATCTAATCTAGTATTCAATATTCTGGTAAATAATTTTCCAAGAGAACTTAACAATGTAACACCTCTATAGTTCGATGGCTGATCAACATCACCATCTTTATGACCTTTATGTATTGGTACTATATAACCTTCACTCCATACATTCGGAAAATGTCCTAATTTTAAACAAGCATTGAACAATTTATGCAATATGGTGACAGATCATCAACTCCATGAATAAATAATTCGTTCACATACAAATCAGATCCAGCCGCTTTATTGCCCTTCAATTGTTTAAAAGCTCTATATATTTCATCAACAGTTATATCTTTGTTCAATTCATCAGAAATGTATTGTATATTATCGTTCAATAAATTCTCATTGAAACGTAATCTTCATCAGCTTGGTAATAAACATCTTCAGGATTATTTATAGCTTTGATATAGTCAACAAAAGTATCTAATTTAGGTTGTTTTGTGTCATTGTTACAAACGGTATCTTTCAGCATTTGCCAATATAGCCTTGCGATTTAACTCTTGCATTTAACAGTTTATCAGACATTTCGGACATATTATGTTATTCCTCCTGGCGTCCGTCCGTCCGTCCGTCTGTCCGAGCTCACTGAAATGACGATTTTGGGTGAATATCCATGTTCCATCCGTATAGACGGTACTTGTGAGGAAAAAGGTTGCTTATGGGGTGCAAATACGTTGCTTATGGGGTTTTAGAGATCAAAGGAGATCAAAGAAAAAACCCCATAATGTCAACTCAGTAGGAACGTCCGTCCGTCTGTCCGTCCGTCCGTTAGCAATTTGGTTTCCGGAGCATAACTTAAGTTCCATTTGGCCCACAATATTCAAACTTCATAGGATGATTGTCCATATTGGGTAGAAGACCCCTATTGATTTTGGGGTCATAAGGTCAAAAGGTCAATGTCACTATGACCTTAAAACTGAAAACAGTTTCTTGAGCATAACTTAAGTTATATTTGGCCCACAGTGTTCAAACTTCATAGGATGATTGTTCATATTGGGTAGAAGACCCCTATTGATTTTCGGGTCACAATGTCAAAGGTCAAGGTCACTATTACCTTAGAACTGAAAACAGTTTCCGGAGCATAACTTTAATTCAATTTGGCCCACAGTGTTCAAACTTCATAGGATGAGTGTTCATATTGGGTAGAAGACCCCTATTGATTTTGGGGTCACAAGATCAAAGCTCAATGCCACTATGACCTTAAAACTGAAAACAGTTTACGGAGCATAACATAAATTCCATTTGGCCTACAGTGTTCAAACTTCATAGGATGATTTTCCATATTGGGTAGAAGACCCCTATTGATGTTGGGGTCACAAGGTGAAAGGTCAAGGTCACTATGACCTTTAAACTGAAAACAGTTTCCGGAGCATAACTTAAGTTCCATGTGGCCCACAGTGTTTAAACTTCATAGGATGATTGTCCATATTGGGTAAAAGTACCCTATTGATTTTGGGTCACAAGGTCAAAGGTCAATGTCACTATTACCTTAGAACTGAAAACTGTTTCCGGAGCATAACTTAAGTTCCATTTGGCCCACAGTGTACAAACTTCATAGGATGATTTTTCATTTTTGGTAGAAGACCCCTATTGCTTTTGGGGTCACAAGGTCAAAGGTCAAGGCCACTATAAACTTAGAACTAAAAAACAGTTTCCGAAGCATAACTTAAGTTCTATTTGGCCCACAGTGTTCAAACTTCATAGGATTATTGTCCATATTTGGTAGAAGACCCCTATTGAATTTGGGGTCATAAGGTCAAGGTCACTATTACCTTAGAATTGAAAACAGTTTCTGGGGCTAACTTAAGTTCCATTTGGACCACAATATTGAAACTTCAAAGGATGATTGTTATTTGAAGGAGGTAATACTTTATTTAATTCCCATGTCTAACAAATGCTTCATCTTTACTAAAAAAATCACTTTCGGGCATATAATGCTCCGCCTAGCGGTGCTTTTGTATCTAAATCTGTTTTGATAGACAAAAAATTATTCTTTGCAGTTTTACATTCTACGTCATACCATCTTTTGTTCATTATGCGCAGGCCACTAGCTTTACAAACATTAATTAAAAGACGCTCATTTCTACTAAGACCGGTATCGGTTGTCAACCTATCTATATAAACGTCAGTTATATAATCATCAGACAATAATTCAGAAAAAAACGATCAACATCGTCATGTTCTACAAAATATTTTAAAGACCCAACCCGACTGTTCATGTCTCCAAGCACGAGAAAATTGCAATGATCATCAAAATCATGTGACAGCTTTGACATTTCACTCAAAATTCTATCAAAAACCGGAATTTCTATTAAATGTTTTCTACTTCTTTCCTGCACATAGCATAAGCATAAAAAACAAGTCATGATCAGATTCAAAAAGATGACGTGAAAATTTTAGCCATAAAATATCATTCCCGTCTGTTATATGTAGTTCTACGAAATTAATATATTTCTATTTAATATAGCAAAATACACCACCAGATCGAGTCTCTTTTTGCATTAATATTTCATTCTTTTCTGTGTACAATAAATAGTTTAAACCCAGGTTTTTCTAAATTTATAAAAATATTTGCCCATGTCTCTACAATAAATATGATATCATTTGAATTGAAAATGTCGACTAAATCAAGTTGTTAAAGTTTATTTACGTTTTTAGTCACTAATCCCTGAATATTTAGTAGCACAAAGTTCAACGAATCAACATGTCTCTCCCCGTGGTCCTAAGTTGAAGATCTTTCTATAACACTGGTTCGCGCTGCACTATTACTCTGTGTGTCTTTCGAAAGTGGGGGAAAATCCCCATGAAATGACGAGCTTGAATGGTTAAGAGCCGCATGGTTCGCTCTTGTTCGGGAACCCTTCTCGGCAGCGGCATCGTTCACAGGGGTTACAGGTTCAACGGGAGTATCACTAAAATAGCTTTTCCATAGTTAGCGTGAGGCCTTGGATTAATTGTTGGTCCATAGTAAATGGGGGGGACCATTGTTAACCGAGTAATCATGCTTATCTGGCTGTTTATGGGAAACGTCGATTTCATGCAGAGCGGTATGTTCATGCTTGACGGGTGTTGTACAATTAGGCGTTTCAGCCATATAGTTTATCACTGTAGATTGTAAGTAAATATTTTACTTTGCGAACAAGTCAATTATTAGGTCAATTCGGTTTCTGTTCAGGACAGCGTACCAGTTAGGAAATGCATCACGCCCTACTTTAGCCTTGACAATCAATTTTGCCAGATACGCTATTTTACATTTGTCGGAGTGCTCATAGTTTGACTTCATGTATTTGTAAAGACGATTTCTGGCAATAGCAATTTCTTTAGGGTAGTCCCTATCGATCCCGTAACGGGATCCAGATAACCAATTGACTCCTTTCATGTTCAATTCAGTGTCCGGATAATCCCGAAAAACGCAATAATCGGTCTAAGCGTTACTCCATCTTGATAACATATAACAATTCTCTCACTCATTATGTGTTTTATAGGACTTTGCTCTCACCCATCATGCAAAATAATGACTTCTCTCTCAACATTTAGGATAATATATAATTGTTCTCTCACTTATTATTATGTGTGTTATAGTGGTAGTGCTAGCAGACTCACCCATTAGGAATGAAATCTTTCTCAACCAGTACATTATAATATCAGTACTTAGCGTAAAAATAGTATTTATTTTGACGTGACGTCAAACATAGCGTAAGGACGTTATACTATAGGCGCGTCAATGGAAAATATTACCTTTTCCATTTAAACAGTCTTTACCTTGGGTATGTGATAAATAGAATATTTCATTCGTGTAGGTTCACTATTGATTTTTTTCAACTGATTGAATGAATTTATTATGCAAACATCATTTATCCTCAAACCCGAGCCCTGTGATAACAGCCTGCCAATATTAGGACGGATCGTTTAATTGCAAAGTTTAAACAGCGCCCACTATCAGAGAGGCGGTTCTCTCTCAAATGTTAGGAAGTTTCGCACATCTCATACCGTTAAGATTTACACTGGGCCCACGATTTGTGCTGCAAATTCGCGACAATGCTTACTGTAAGTGAAATTCACGTAATCTATTTATATCACAATGTCTTAAAGTTCCATAACATGCTGAATTCTAAAACTCAAATTGCAATTTTTATCTCATAATTTCGCAAACTTAACTTAAATTTTTTGAAAAACATTAAATTCTTTCTTGACAAAGAAACACATGTTGACAATTATTACGTTTTACACAGCAAGAGTGATTTTAATTTACAAACGTGAACATTTAGTTAACAAATTGTCTCATAGAATAATTTAATGTCGGAAATTCACAGCATAATTTACATATTAAGTGTGAATTTATATACAAACAAATTAGAAAATGGGACACAGAAATTAGAAATAGGGACAACTTATATTAAAATATTAATTTAAAATTATATCAATGTATTTTACATGTAAGATTAATTAATTTACTTGAATTGAATTGTATCTGTTTTGGTGGATATCCCCTTCCATATGACAATGATACAAGAAACGGTTAAAATAAAATGATATAAAGAAGAGTGCGTGTCCGTTTTTTTTACTAAACTATTTTTGAAATCACAAGAAATATATGTTTTAAAAATATTCATTTAGTATAATCTTTCTGTCTTTTATCACCAGATTGTCCAGCAAACAGGTGTGGGTATAATTGCGAGAAACAATGTCAATGTGAGCATGCACCAGTTTGGAATAAAATTACCGGAAATTGTTCAATAAGATGCAACAAAAAAGGCAAAGGTTATCTATGCAATATGCGTAAGTTAAACTTAAACAATTACTTTTAATGAGAAATTCCAATTACAATCTAAATATCATTTTACTGGGTGTTGCTTTGTTGATATACGCATTTTAAGACGTTATACCTAAACGTTTTTTTTATGAATTATTGTCCTTAATTTAAAGCTTTCAATTGATTTAGTCCACCGAGGTAATATAATAGATTTATTTATCTTCAATATCCTTACTCTCATATAACTTTTTATATCTCTCTTTTTTTATGAATAAATGACCCTATATATATCTAACTTGTAATGATTGGATTAACAAAATGAAAGAAAATATGTTAATCTTATTATTAGCTTAAATCTGCCGAATAAGTCCACGCTAAATTTTATATATATCCTTAACATTTAAGTGTGATTTTCGAGTTTCGGCACATATGCGTTTCACTAATCAAATATTCATTTTTTACTCCAATGTGCACAAAAAATAACGTTAGACGTAAGTTACCTAAAAACAATTATGACACAAGCATATCATAAAATGAGTTATGTTTCCATCATATGTTTCCTCAATGCTTGACATTGCTTCATGTTTTTATAATGTTAATTTATTACGATTAAGAAATATTTTGGTTGTAAAAATAAATGCAGTTTGTTAATAAATTAGCATATAACATACATTTATGGTATATAAAGTTGATATCATCTTTGATGTGGCAATTTATCAAGAAGGTAAACCAATATATCAATTTGAAATGCTAAATGATATTTTATCTTGCAAAGCCTCCAAAACAGACAATGACTACTCCATGTCGTGTGGTGAGAATTGTTTAGGAGATGAGTGCGACTCAAATTCCGGAAAATGCATGAGAGGTTGTAAAGCAGGATGGGAGGGAACTTTCTGCAACCAAAGTGAGTATATGTTTACTTTATCCAAGCATTTGTTATTAGTGATAAGTTTAGGTATGTTTATTGCTTTTGGTTTCAACATATGTTTTTGTCATACAAATCTGCCGTCGATCCACCTTACAAGCATTCCTGGACATTTACCAGACTACTTATTTCACATGATTTCTGAAACTAATGACCTTCTGACTCAATTTTCGTGATCGAGTGTCAAAGAAATTGTGCCCTGCCGGAGGATCGAGCCAGAAACCCTTGGATAACTTATTGACCTTAGCGGACTGACGAGGTTTGTCAAAATAGGTCTACACTAACTGTTCACATTGTGTTCAAATGTGATGTATTGGGGGAAACGCTTGCCTGTATGCAAAGAGAAAAGCATTTTACGTGATATTAACTTTACAGCTTTACTATTTGAATTTAATATACTTGTAGATTTATATTTATGAGAATGATAATGATGTGAGAAACTGAAAACTGATCTAATCAAAATGACCACGAGTTACTAAATCGTGACCACAAGATAACTAAGTGGTGCGCATGAGATATTATGTCATGACCACGAGTTAATGGTCATGGCCATGAGATAAGTAAGGTGTGCACGAGATACTATGTCGTGATCACGAGTTACTAACTCGTGGCCATGAGTTACTAAATCGTGACCACAAGATAACTAAGTTGTGCGCACGAGATATAATGTCATGACCACGAGTTAATAGTCATGGCCACGAGATAATTAAGGCGTGCACGAGATACTATGTCGTGACCACAAGTTACTAAATCATGACCATGGGTTACTAAGTCGTGTCCACGAGATAATGTTAATTGGTTTCGCACGAGATACTATGTCGAGGCCACGAGTTACTTAGCCCTGGCCACTAGATAATTAAGTGGTGCGTACGAGTTACTAAGTCGTGACCACGAGATAATTAAGTGGTGCGCACGAGATACTATGTCGTGGCCACGAGGTTATAAGTCGTGGGGATGAGATAATTAAGTGGTGCACACGTGATAATTAACCAATCAGATAACACTTTTATATGAATTTCCCTAGATAAGTAGAAATGTGGTACAAGACAAGTATGCCCCTATTTCATCTGCCTGTCATTGTCCCTTTTATACAAGTTATTGATTGGACAATGATTTACATTTAGCGTCATTGTGACACTGATTTTTGACCTAATGACCTCAAAATTATTTAGTGTCAGATATTGATCAGGCGCAATGATCTTTCTATGTTTATAAACCATGGCTTATTCCTTTTTAATTATTCATCAGACAAGGATTTTACATGATGTGTTATGGTAACATTGACCCTTGACCTCAAACTTCCTTATAGACTATCTACTGGCTGTAGGTAATGTCCCTACCAAATGAAATAAACAGGACTTATTTCTGTTCAAGTAATCGTTACCAATTCTATCATAGAATTTTCCCCACAAAGGGCCACATTTTAGACAAAATAAATGTCTGATTTATAGGCCTTGGAAGGTGACTTTCTGATATGATACTAAAAACATGTATCAAGTTTAAAGTGAATATCTTCAGTATTTAAGCAGGATTTTTTTTTAATTTTAGAAAAATCATATATACATGTATATAGTGTAATCTAATTGGTCATCTATCCCGTGGCCTCGAGTTAATAACTCGTTGCCACGACATAGCGTCTCGTGCGCAAGACTTAAGTATCTCGTGGCAACGACAAAGTATCTCGTGCGCACCACTTAATTATCTTGTGGCTACGACTTAGTAACTCGTGGTCACGACATAGTATCTCGTGCGGACCACTTAAATATCTCGTAGCAATGACTAAGTAACTCGTGGCTATGACATGGTATTTCGTGACAATACACGATTAAAAACATTTCTAACAAAGGTAACATTTGAATATACTAAAATAAGTGGATCCTAAACGTGTTGATTTTAATTTTAATGTTGTTTTATAATTCAGAAATTGATTGACAAATACAGGGAAAGTTAAGAAAAATAGAATAAATGAAGTACAAACAATTGCCCTAGCACAGCTGGGATGGCACAACATGTACAAAGCATTTGCACACCATGCATAGGTCCCTGACCTGTTTTATTCTAATTATGAGATTATAGGATACCCACGACATATTTGTTAACAAAAGGGCACATGTCAATATTTGTGATTAAATCTATTCTTATTTAAATAAAAGGCCATAGTATTTCGTGCGCAACACTTAAATATCACGTGACCACGACTAGGTAAATCTTTGACACGACATAGTTACTCGTGGCCACGACGTAGATCTTGAGCGCACGACTTAATTATCACTTGGCCAGGACAAACTAACTAATGACCAATGTATTGTATGTCATGCGCACCACTTAATTATCTATTGGCCTTGGTTTAGTAACTCGTGGGCACGAGATAAATAATGTGTGCTTGTGCGTGCGTGTGCGTGTGTGTGTGTGTGTGTGTGTGTTTCAAAATAAAATTATATATCTATTTTATTACAATCCAATTTCAACTTTAAATGATTAAGTTGGATGGATTTCTGTGGTTTAAATAGTGAATTCACTCAAGATGGACACCAAAAGATTACGGTTAAATTTTTTATCAATTTCACTTTTTTTGCTACCTTTCCAAACATAGAAAGGAAATATCATTATCACTTAACAGAAAAAAGTGATGATAGATCACGCAATTTTATAATTTTATTACTCGCATATCAATCTCCCACATTTTCAGACGAGGAAATTCCATATGTTTTATATTTAATAGCAATAATGTTACCAGTACATGCTTCGTTATAGAGATCCGTCATTAACTCAGATACACGTAACATGATCTTTAAAAAATAAATTAATATGCAAAACATCTTTATAACAAGATACACATCGTTCAAATATAAATCAGACAATTTCTGTTTATCACAAGCAAATTACCATTTGTGATTTGGAAATTCATGGATTTCCAAATATTCAGTTTATAAGGATTTTTCGTAAATGTATTATCTTTTAAATGATTTCTATTCGCATTAACTTGATACTCACATTGTAAAGCATTATATTATACAGAGAACATGTCAGAGTATGACAAGTTTGTATCATTAATAAAGTCGCAAATGAGGTTCATTATTTCCTAATATCCTTCCAAATCTAGGGCAATTATACTTTCTTGTGAAAAGAATTTCTTAATTATTATTTAACAGTAAAATGTTAAAGTAAAAAGACATTCAATTATATTCATAAGTTGAACATACAAGCTTTCATACTATAACAATTACAGATTTTTTAACCGAAATGATAAGTTGAAAAAATGTGTGAATTATGGAGCATATCAATTGTAATTTCATATTATAAATGATTTGTTTGATTGTCACAACATAAGGTTGTTATATTTTGTCGAGTTCTTTACCAAATACTTTTGTATAAACATCATTGTGAGCTTCGTTTATTGTGAACACTTTTCCGTTGCAATTAGTTTTCTTTCTATTTAATTTGTGTCTTGTTTGACTTCCAGTAACGATTTTATGAAAAAAATAAGTCAACGTTTATGGAGTGCAAGCATCACAATTATAAAATGAAGTGTGCAATAGCTAGCTTTCTACTTCAATACCTGTACATTACCTTACAAAGTATGCTTATTTGTAATGAATAAGAATTACGCTCTTCTTATAAGAAACGTAAGAGGGAAAGTGTAATTCACAAAAACATCCCTTTACAAACTACATTGTCAATTGTAAAATTATGAAGACATGTGAAAGAGCGTTAATGTGCGTTCTTTTTGAAACAAAGGTTTACAAATGTTTTTTTCAAACGGCTAGGCACTATTTGTGCACCTCAGTGACCGTATTTATAAAGAATCTTAAGTGAAAAATTTCCCCTCAACTCAAAAATTTCTCTTAAGATCACACAATTTTACCTTAATTTATAAGGAAAATTGTAAGTCTTATTCATAAAAACTAATAAGTCAAAGATTCCGTAACTTATGTCGAATTTCTCCTTAACTTTTAAAATACCTCATATGCTACATTAACTTTGAGGGAATTTTTAAAGGGAAAATTTGATAGGAGACAACATGTCATCCAAGCATTAGCTCTAACCAATATTTGTGCATAAAATATGATAAACAAGATCGACAAGGAAAGGCGGCATTCAATGAACGCAGCCTTCTTATTGTCCTTAAAATGTAAAGAGATTGATTGTATATTATATTTTATAACTAGTTCACCGCTCTCCGTATTTTATTAACCCCGTGAATATACCGTACGTACGAAACCGACATTTAGCAATGAATTTTACCTTCTTCACCTAAATACGTAAATAAATGTTAAGATGCAAAAAACAAACAATATGTTTATAAAAAGAAAGAAATGATCTAAGGATTTAGTGAGATTTAATAGGACGATGAATATTTTATCATGCACCAGTGGCTGAAAGTGACTGATATTAAATATAAAAGTTGCAGTTTTCGGATTTTCAGTATTCGGATATATTTTACATTATGTAACGAATGAAGTGTGACATATGTGGTAAGTAGATGCTAAATACTTATAAAACCAGATTGAAGATCATTTGAATTTCAAGCAGTGAAAGTGGACACTTGTATATTTTGGACAGGGAGGGGTAGATTATTTCTTTAGTTTAGAGCTACAATAATTTATAATCCACTTATCCACATCTAAGAAAAGATAATGTACATGAAAATCAAGGTCAAAAGGAAAGCCCTAGTTTCGTAATTTGAAATACATTGAAAGAACAATAGAAACTTTAAAGTCTATCAAATCATCGGATGAGAGGTGACACTATACATGAACAAACATTTGAAATAAATTTTTAAACAAGTCAAAAACGACTGTAAATTTTAACAATTCTTATGCTACACCCATTCAACAAGGGAACTTAATTTAAACTTGATATATCATTGTGTAAAACAACATTTTCTGAAGAGAAGTAGTTAATACATGGAACTCTTCTTCAACGTGTTAATGCTAGGAATCCGTGTAACATAATTGTGTGGACGAGCAATCGTCTTA